GCAACGCTACACCGAGACCGCGCTCGACGAGATCAAGCTGCTCCAGCGGCTGATTAGTGGAGACGTAAACCACCCAGGTCGAAGACATGTGATAGGTACGTATGCAACGACCTACATGCCAGCCGACATTGACATTCGGCATATGCTAGGTTTGTTGGACCACTTCCGTCACAAAGGGCCCAATGGCAATCACGTTTGCATGGTGTTTGAAGTTCTTGGTGAGAATTTGCTTGGGCTCATCAAGCGACACCAGGCAAGTGAACGCTTTCCTTCGGCTCGCGCCTTGCGTTGACAAGCGAGCTCAGGCAAAGGGCGTGCCTGTGCATCTCGTGAAGCAAATAGCAAAGCAAATATTGCTCGGTCTCGACTACATGCACAGACAATGTGGTGTCATCCATACGGTATGTCCCGTAATTCACGCTCATCTTCACTTGGCTAACGCACATGCGTAGGACTTGAAACCCGAAAACGTGTTAATCTGTATAGATGATGTCGAAGCAGTAGTGCAGGTACGCCGCCCGTGATCCAACTCCGAGACCTTCCTAACCGAACCTTAGGCCGAACTCGAGTCTGCACAGAACACCCAGGCGCCGACCAAGATCGTGGGAGTCCCTCCTTCACGCGGGCGTGGGGGGAACCAGACCCCTCGATCCGAGTCGATATTCATCACTGGCTCGCAGCCTCTGCCATCGCCCTCCTCGAGTTTCGGTACGAGTCCAGCATTTGACAAATGGGCGTTTGGCATGTCGCGTATCAACATGGACGACGAGCAAGACGCCGCCAACGATACCCAGGCCAAGTCTGAAGCCAATACGGAGAGCGTCGAGCGCGCGATGGGGGACGTAAGCGTGCACGATTCACCAGGACCTGCACCCAAGCCTGCGGCTGTGGCCGGACCGAGTCTGCTCACGCGCAACGCCCCGGCGGACCTACGCAGCCAGCAGGCAACGCCTAGCAGCAGCAATGTGAGCGACGGAAAAAGTACGAGCTCTCCGTCGCCTCATAGCGCGATCAAGACACAGGTCGTTTCTGCAAACGATCACTCCCCTGTCTCCCCCCTTCCTCGTGGTGTTGCGGCGAGTATGTCGTCCCTCGACCCGGCCGCGATGAGCGAACGCATCACTGTCAAGATTGCGGATCTAGGCAACGCGTGCTGGACTGACCATCATTTCACCGATGACATCCAGACACGGCAGTACCGGTGTCCTGAGGTAATATTGGGCGCCAAATGGGGCACGAGTGCCGACGTGTGGAGTGCGGCATGTGTGGTAAGTTGGCTCGCGGTGGAGCTTGTTCGCGAGGCTGAGGAAGGTGCAGATCTTTGAGCTTTTGACCGGCGGAGATTACCTTTTCGACCCCCAGGCTGGGACCAAGTACAGCAAGGACGATGACCATATCGCGCAAATTATCGAGTTGCTGGGCGAGTTCCCCAAGTCTATTGCGTTTTCCGGCAAGTATAGTGGCGAATTTTTTAACCGGAAGGGTGAGACGTCTTCCAAGTCCAGGCGCGCCAGGCTAACACCCCACAGGTGAGCTACGACATATCCACAAACTCAGGTTCTGGCCGGTCGAATCTGTCCTGCACGACAAATACCTTTTACCCCGCGCCGATGCCGAGATGATTGGGTCGTTCCTGACACCCATGATGCGCTTGAATCCCGAGAAACGCACACGCGCAACTGACATGGTCAACCACGCCTGGCTCGACGGGATCGTCGTTCAGGGCGAGATCGACCTGATCTTGGCGGCCGAGGCTGCAGACCGCAAAGAGCGTGGCCGGTCGGACTCGCGCGCACTTGGCCGTGGCACACCGTCTGGGTCCAAGTCGAAATCGGGCAGCAAGGGTGGCTCGCAACCGAGACGGCCGAGCGGGCCCCGAGACCCGATTGCCAGCGTGCAGGCACTCAACGAGGCTTCAGCTGTGGATGCAATGCGGCCTGTGGACGAGGCTGAGATGCTTGGTGGGAATGTGTAGTGATCTAGATTTCTCGAACTTTGGGTTATTTCTTCTGCTTCCATATAACGCCTGTCCACATGCACACCTCGCTACCTTGGTCTATGTCTAGTTTGATTATGCCGTCTGATTTTTTGTTATTTCTTTGTTCATTTTTGGGGCTGTGGCCGTTGATACAGGTCGCGGTCGTTGTTGCGCTCGGTGGGGTTGGTGAATGCTATATCTTGGTCGTGGATTGAATACAGCAAAGTAGTGTGACAATATTACGAGTAACATGTGGGAACATTATACAAGGGTACAACATGAAAGGAAATCCGAAAATCGAAAAAGGGGCATCCAGGGGGTATACGATGGCAAGACATTCCTGCCTTTGTTCATTGCAGCGGTTCGAAGGATCTCGTATCCCTGTATGCGTCCGTGATGTCCATCTCAGGCTGGGTGTAATTCGCCAGCGCGGCCCTTTCTTGCTCGGTCAGCCGGCGGGGACGGGCCGTATCCGACGACGAAGGCGTAGCCGGCGAGTCCCACGATCGCGAAGAGCCCGAGGATGAAGCGGAGGACATGCTGCTCGTGGACGCAGTGTGTCGATGTCCGCGCCGGGGCTGGGGTTCCGGTAAAAGGAACGCACTTGTGGTGCGAGTGTGGCTGGATCGCTGGAACATGCGATGTCAGTGCTTAAATTTTCCAAGGAAGAACGGGCACGTACGCGACCCATGTTCCCATTCACGCTTGGCGCATCTTTGGGAGCAGTAGGCGGCGAGTACAAGATGTTCTTGAACGCGGCAAAGTCGTTAAAGGTGAGGGAGAAGCCCTTGACGGTGGAGAGTGACGCAGACGGGCGGGACATGGTTTAGGCCGGCGGGAGTAGACGAGAGGTGGGGCACTGCTGGCTTTCTGCGGTTTGCACCGGAGTATATATCGATGAAAGGCCATTGTGCACGAGAGACAACGAGTCGTGGACGCGTGGGGGGGTGTCGAAGCACCATCGATCAAAGGGAGTTTAATTGTCCTTTGTTATGGCTTGCGCACGTTGTTTAGCTTTGGCGGGCGGTGCAGGTGTATGCGTGCGGTTGACGCTCACAACGTGTGCCTGCAGCTTGCGCTCCTTGTCTGTCGCCATACCGGGGCTGCTGGGGTGGTGTGAGACTTGCGCGAGTCCAAAAAGTGGCAGTGACCGGCGCTTTGGCAAGCGCCGAGCCGGTATTTCATCCTCATTAATAGCTCGCACAGACCAGTAGCGAGAGGGGCTTGTGAACGGACAACGGCGCAAATTGTTCGAAATACGGAGCCTCCCACTTTGCTCTCAACTACCACCAGCTTTCGCCCCCCGTAAGAGCACAACCCGCAGCCCAGCCCATTTTCCACACTCGAATCGACGCATAAACTCGTACAATGGCCCGTACCAAGGTCAGTATCCGTTACGCGCATATCTTGGCCACACCCGGCGTCGTCTTCGTCGCCGTTGCGGTCGTGGCTTGCCCTGTTGCCATCGTGCGAGTCGTCGCTGACTTTGTCGCCCGTTTGTTTCCGGCATACACCCGGCCGACCCCGCATCGCGCTCCACACCACCCGCCACGTCATCCGGTCCGAACACATCGCCCATCCCGCCGCCGACCCGACACCGCCACACAAATCCCGCCCTTCCAAATATGGAAATACCCAAACACACACACCGACACATAAATACAGCAAACCGCGCGCAAGTCTACCGGAGGCAAGGCGCCCCGCAAGCAGCTCGCGACCAAGCAGGCCCGCAAGAGTGCGCCCCAGACGACTGGTGGGGTCAAGAAGCCTCACCGTTTCCGCCCCGGAACTGTCGCGCTCCGTGAAATCCGTCGGTACCAGAAGAGCACTGAGTTGCTCATCCGCAAGCTGCCGTTCCAGCGTCTTGTGCGTGAAATTGCTCAGGATTTCAAGACCGACCTGCGCTTCCAGTCGTCGGCTGTGCTCGCTCTCCAAGAGGCCAGCGAGGGTGAGTCTCGCACCATGACATTATGCCGTGTGCTCATCGTGCTTTGCAGCCTATCTCGTTTCGCTCTTCGAGGACACTAACTTGGCCGCCATCCACGCCAAGCGTGTGACCATGTACGTTGTCTTTCCTCGTCACTCACTCGGTTGCTCACCGCTATCTATAGCCAACCCAAGGACCTCGCCCTCGCCCGTCGTCTCCGCGGCGAGCGCTCTTAAGTTCATTCTGGAAATTCCAGCCCTATGCACCCGTCTGTTTATTCTCCCTTTGATGTTTGTATCTTGGTGCATTCGGCCTTTGTGTGTCTTGTAGTCCTTGGATTGAAGGCCCCGGCTCTACACTAACCGGATGGAAAGCTTGTATCTAAGTACTTATATGAACGTTTGTTATGTTGACTGGTACATGGATGCGTGCGTATTATTGCACCTCAAGCTTGGCATCATACCGCGTAGCTGGGTCAGTGAAGTCGTCGTAATCTGGCTTGCAGGATGATAAACAAATTCGCGTCTAGAGTGACTCTCTAATTGTATGTACCAACTCTGCGGTTTTTCTCCGCAGCTGGTCGTACACACCCGGTCTGAGATGCAACGCAAGCGGCTGCAGAATCCGACCGAAGTCAATCTGGTGTGCTCGAGTCAGAGCGTCAGAACGAACCAATTGTCTTTCGAGGCCCCCAGCAATTGGTGAGATACAACAGCTGATCCAAAAACGAGTGGCGCCAGGTGGAAGCACGGGTATGGAAGTCGTATACCAAACTTTTAACATATGGTTGCTACCAAGGCAACTCACGGGCTTTCAAGCCGAATAGCATGCAGCAGTACGAGCTGTGTGGTCTGTAACCATTGGGACCTAGAGCGTGTATTCGAAGACACACGGAAAAGGCGAGCAATTTAGTTGCGCGAGAATATGGAAAGCTACGTCGGGATCGGGCAAACGGGCGAAAACCGCGAGCCAGGGTGCTTCACTGCAGCCTTACGACATGGCTGAGCATTCTCATTGGCTCCTGAGGGCGGGAGAAAGGTGGCAGGAACCGAGAACGCTTCACGCTCGTGACACTGAATCTCAAACGGACCACAAGCCCTTATAGCTCAGTGGTAGAGCGTTGCACTTGTAGCTCTGATTAGTCATTAATCCTTGCTTATCTAATCATGCAAAGGTCCATAGTTCAATCCTGTGTGGGGGCAATTAATTTTGGCACTGAAATCACCTAAAAGCATAGGCAGGATACTTCTGTGCTGTTTTCCAAGTCAAACAATAGGTAATACATCAGCAAACATGAAATTTACTTCACTGGGATTTAAAGTGATTTAAAGTCCTTATAAGCACTTAAAGCATGTGAAGCACCTAGGTGACAAGTACCCTGTTTTAAAGTACAAATAAGTACTTTAAGGCACTTTGAAGTTTACCAAGCTCCCTTATTGGTGAATTTAAGCTGTTATGAGCCTTCACCGTAGGGTCACTAGTGTGACATGGAGGTTCCTTTAGATGTGATAAGGTAGGACTAGGGTCCTCGTAGACTTTAGACAATAGACGAACACGGTGTAGGAGGCTTATAGTTAAGCCATGAAAGGTTACTTGACTTGGTGACGATGTGCCACAAAATACGAAGGATGGTCAAGTGGCTAAGTACCTTTAAGCCACGAGACCCTTGGAGAGAAAGACTTAAGTAAGAGGGTTGCTAACCCCTTAGTGCGAAGGTGAAGTGGGACAAGGTGAGAACAAGCTGGTCTGACCAGGCTTGTTCTCTGCTCTCTAAATACTACACAGGTACAGGCGAGTCATCTATCTACGACAGTCAACCGCCATTCCAAGGCGAGTCAACCGAAAGAGACACGCATACATGTGTGAGTCAACCGCCATTCCCAGGACAGTTCACCATAGCGCAACGCCAAGCCATGAGAAGAAGAGGGGCCGGAGGTGCCAAAGAGAAAAAGAAGAAAGGAAAAGTTGGGGGCTGTACGACAGCTCACAACATTCTTCCCCCCTTTTGCACGAGTCCATGCGCGGCAGGGTGAGCAAGGAGAAAAGAAGGGAAAAAAAAAGAAAGAAGGAGACTAACTACACTCTATTTACTTGGGGCTACATTATCCGGGGCGCATTGTAGCAACGACTGGTTACCCATTTCTACCTTAGGGGGCCCAAACTTGGTTCGAACTACTCCGCCCGTTCCTCGGGGGTCTCGTCAAGACGCTCCCAGGCCTTGTATCGCTCCTCCCATCCCATGTATCAATTCCAGGAGTAGTGGTCGAGCCACTCGAAAAACTGGCCCTTCGACATCCCCTTTCGGAAGAGGAGGTTGGCCACCTGGTCCCAAGTGAGCTCCTCGATCGGCTTGTGGTACGTTTCGGGCGTCTTGGAGCGCCATTCTCGGACAGCATCGGCGATCCACTCCTGCATGTGGTTGATCTGTACCCACCAGGTTCCGTCAGCCTTCCACTCGAGGTCGGGGAACTGGCCCTTGGACTTGGTGACGACTCTGTAGACTGAGTCGCCAACACACTTATTCGCGATGTAGAGCTTTGTTCGCGACATCTGCCAGATGTCGTCTGGCCTCGGTCCATCTCCCACCCACATAAGGGGTCCGTGCTTCGGGTGGTGCAGGGTGTTGCTGCTGAGGATGCAGCTGCCTCGTTCATGGATTGGGATGTAGCGGAGGTCGCATCTGGCATCGAGCTCCGCTGCGAAGTCGAGGGTGTCCGAGAAGTTGTTGATCTTCTGGGTGTCCCGGACGTATTTGCCCACTCCGTCCTTACGGAGACGTCTGCACTCCTCCCAGATGAGAATGTAGTTCCCCATGGGGATGATAGTGACTTTGGGCTTGGGGGCCCATCGTGCTTGCTCCCAGGTGTTCTCGTTGGCTTTCACCTGTCGCTCCCTTGGGTTGTGCCCCCTTTGCTTGTTCCCGGCGGCTTTTGTGACGATGGCAGCATATGACTTGATGATGACCATGGCGGGAGAGTGGAAGGGTGGGCTAAGTCAAGTGTGGAGAGGAGTGTAGGAGTGGTGATGTCCGTTGAGGCTCTCCCCAGCTCCTTTATATACCCCTTTGGTAGTGGTGCATCCAGGAACTTTCGGCGGAAGTCCCTCATGACTCGTTCCAGTGGAATCATCTTTTCGGCATGCTCCAGGGTATTTTCCAGTGAGTCATACCCTTTCCATTTGATCTCGTAGTATAGTTGCTTCCTCTTCTGTTCCCACCCGATGATCTTCTCGACTTTGAATTGTTCCTCCCCTTCTTCCATTATTATCAGGGGAGGCTTTGGGGAAAACCATCCAAAAGAGTCTTCCTTGAATGGCGTGAGCAGATTCACGTGGAACACATTGTGTATTCTCATTGATTTAGGTAGGCTTAGTTGTTGCGACCCTCCGTTCTTTCTGGTCACTTCTTATTTGCACACTTATGCGATACTGCTGGGTACTTCCCAGAGGAGCTGT